AAAATCAACCCTTAAATTGTAGTAGTTTGTCAGGTATTTTGCCTCAGTGACAAGAAAGCTGACCAATACATCTATATTTCAACAGTTGTAAAATAAGTCAACTCAAAATGGATTAAATACTTACATGTATGACATAAAATTATAAAACTACCAGAAGAAAGTGGGGGAAATACTTCAGGACATTGGAATAAACAAGGATTTTTTGGGGGAGGGAGATAAGAGTCTCAAAGCACAGGAACAAAAGCAAAAGTAGTCAAATGAGATTATATAGAAATAAAAAACTTCTTTGTGGCATAGTAAACTATAATAAAGACATAATCTACAGAATGGAGACTATTTGCAAACTATATGTATATAAGGGATTAGTGTCCAGAACACATAAAGAACTGAAACAACAGAAAAAATAATGTGATTAAGACTGCATAAAAGATCTAAATAGACATCTTTTACTTTCTGTTACTTTTTCTTTATTTTGGTACCAGGGATTGGAACTCATGACCTCACACTTGCCAGGCAGGAGTTTGTGCCTCTGAACCATATCCCTGGTGAAATAGACATTTCTTAAGAAGAAGATATATAAATAGCTACCAGCTATATGAAAAATTGGTCAACATTATTAATATGGGCAACATTATTAATTATCAGAGAAATGCATATTAAACTCATAGCAAGGTATTATCTCACTCCAGTTGGAAGCTATTATCATAAAGACAAAAAAATGAATGTGGAGAAAACAAAATACTTGCACATTGTTGATGAGATTGTAAATTTAATATGGTTATTATGGAAAATTATATGAATGTTTCTCAAAAAATTAAAACTAAAACTACATTGGGATCCAGCAGTCCCATTACTAGACCCAAAGGAAATGAAGTCAGTGTGCTGAAAAGACATCTGCATTCCAAAGATAATTGCTGCATTATTCACAATAACCAAGAAATGGCAACAACCTAAGGGTCCACCGAGCGATGAATAAAGCAAGTTATACGCACAATGTAATATCCTTTAAGCAAATAAAGAGGATGAAATCTTGTCACTTATGACAATATAAATGGAACTGGAGATTGTTGTACTAAGTGAAATAAGCCAAGCAGAGAAAGACAAGTACAGTACTACACGACCTCCCTCAAGTGTAGACTCTAAAGCAGTCTATCACATAGTACTCCTGTTCAGCTTTTGTGTGTCAATTAAAGTAGCAAGGATAAGAAAAGAGGCTAACAGGGACAAAAACCAAGAGGAGAAGCAGTGTTTCTAAGGGCTCGCTGATTATAAAGGGAGTCAGAAAACGAAGCCAGGAATGAGTGGAAGTCTGGAGAAATACTGAGAAAGGCAAAAAGAAATGTCTGTTTATGGAAAGAGTGGCCAAGGCAGGTAAAAGTCAGTGTGTTGAAAAGACTTAGGCAGAGGCAGGGTAAAAGTGTGCCAGCACGGGAAGTGGCCATCAACTTAACAGTTATTACACAGTAGTTTTCCTTTGTCACGTTAGGCAAAGGAGCAGTGCGGCAAAGCCAAAACTACTCTAGGTTGAGAAATAATAGAAACTAGTCACAGTATATTGAGGGAAAATCAGATTAGAAGGCATGTTCCTAAGACATGTACTATTCTTACTGAAAAATAAAATTTTTTTTAGAAAAAGAAATTTTTACTTTGGTGATGATTTGTAAATTATAATGTCTTTAGTAAGAGCAATCATTTGTAAAGAACGGAGGCTTACATTTGCCTGTGACTTATTTCCAATCTATGGTGCTTCCGTCAGCTTCTGGTTTCAGTCCTTGCGTCCGGGTTCCTGTCTGCTCTAAATTCAGCGGCTGACCTCTACTTCCTGTGCCTGATTTTTGGTGCTTTCCAAAGACTGAGGAATGACACTGCCCTGGCTCTTCCTGTGGCAGTAATACATTCCACCCATCCCGCTCAACTTCTGGAACACAAACCCCAGCACAAGTATGTGCCCTGCTAGACGGCTTGGGGGCCTGGGGCAGAGATACTACTCTTGGGAGTTAAATGATGGAGGCATAAATGATTCTGCTTATGTTTTCCTGATGAGAAAATTGAAGCCCTGCTTACTTAGAGTCTTCTATGGTTACTGTAGGAAGTATGTTCCCATAAAATTACTTTCCACTTTCTCAGGCTGAGTTGTGTCCTAGTTTCATTTTCTTAAGGAGATAACTACTGTCAATGACTCACACACACAATATTTTAAAATCAGATTCGAGAGTCCTATACTTTGGGGAAAAAACTGTGTCATTAAGATTAGTCATGAGAGAAAAAGCATGTCATGAGATTTTGGGAAAGTGTTTCCATGTACTTCAAGTTTTGACAACCCATCTTATTTCCCTGCCACTGCCTAAGTCTGTGTGACTTTGATCAGATTCTGAATCTTTTTTTCCCTCTGTTTTCTCATTTGTAAAATGAATTATGATACCAACTTTATTCACTGTGAGAAATTCATACAGTGATGGTTCATGGGGCTATTACAATTACTTTTTCTTTTGTAAGCATTTTTCAAAGCTCTTTTTACTGCTTAAAAGCATCTCATTGTTTTCCTGATGAAGAAGTTGCATTCTGTGAAAAGGCAAATGTTTAAGAAAATGTGATCACTTGGTATGAATTTTAATATCTATCTCAAAATGTTCCCAGACTTCTTCCTTTCTCTGAGACACTCAGCCCAGCCTGTGGCCCTTTTCATTCTGTGGAGGTCTAACATTCTGAAATATTGCTTAGTGCTACTGTTTCCTTATGTAGTTTTCTATTTGCTTTAACTAGGCCATATTGGTTGCTTCAGAAGAAAAAAAAGAATTCACTAGACTGTTGCTTTCCTGTTAGGGTTTAGAGGAAGAGTGAGACTAGACAGAAGTGACACAGAATAGAGAAAGATTTGCGCAGTTCTTTGAATCTGTGCCCAGGTTATGGATCAGGCTTGGAGTTTTGGCTGCAGCTCCAGGTTGCTTGAGGGATCTGAGAGGCAAGAGGGTCTACACATCTTTCAGAGCTTCAATTGGTGAGGCATGAGAGAACGGTCTCTCAGATGTGGTCCTTACTAGATGGAACTTTGGACACCAGAGTTTCTCATACCGTATTTCGTTGAGGTGAGTAGTAAATGACATGTCCATATCCAAGAGCAATGTAGACAGAGTTCCTAAAGGAGCTATGTGATGACAACCAAGGATATTTCTTCAATCCTTCAGAAAAACCTGAAGATCTAGCTACCGGGGAAGAGGTGTAATGATGCATGGGTCAGTAGATTTTCATGTAGGGAAATGATTTTGAAGTTCAAATGCTGGTTTTAGTTTCCAAGTTTATCTTTCTTTCAAATCTACATCTTCAAATCACCATCTTTCAATGGTGAAATGATTGTTTGGAGCAGGAGCGAGTATGGGGAGTATGAGCATGGAGGGAGAGAAAGGTCTTCCTGGATGATGTAAACATTGAAGCAGGAGTAACACCTAGGCAACATCCACAGAATCTATTGTAACAAAGCTCGCTCAGTCATTATCCCGTATGGCTTTTAGTCTTGAAGCGCCTCCACTGCTGAAGAGGACACAGACAAGGTCTGATGTGGGTCTGTCACTTTCCAGCTGCATCTGCAGGTGGAGTGATGAAAAGACACAGTAACTACCAAGGGGAAGGTCCTACCGCATCCTTATATCAACAGCACAGGAAACTTCCTGATGAGAAATGAGCCACACAACAGGCCTGGTGTTCCTGCCACCTGGAAAGTGATGTGAGACATAACAAAAGATGACTAAAGGGAACAGTCATGCCTGGCTCACAAAACAGGAATACTATCCAATAACTTGCAGAAATGGAAAATCTTCAGATATCTTGGATATGAAAGAATATCCTTTTAGGCTAGGACATTTTCATTTCTCAAATGCATGAAGCTAATCAGTGTTCATCATGAAAGAAGCAATTCCTGAGGCACTGGGCCTCAGGCTAACATCTCAAAATGCATGCTGGCAGAAACTTCTGCCGCCTACACTAACCCTGGAAGCTTGGGAATGCAGACTCCCATCTTCTGAGGGTGAGGTCTATGCATCTGTAAATTATCTTAGCCCTTGTGATTAACTTTAGTAAGAGATAAAGAAAATAACACTGTTCTAATCTGTGTACAAATCAAGAGCAAAAGTTTGCACAGGAAAGTCCTTTCTTACAAGACTGGAAATGCTTTCAGACATTTCAAGTTTTCTGCATTCCGTGAAGGAGGCAGATGTATGTGATCCATGAAAGGAAGTTAGGAGCCATCTGCTGGACATCCACTTTACAGGCAGCTCACTGCAAACTTTTTGACAGAAAGAGGAGTGGGAGAGAGAGGGGGAGGGGAAGGAGTAGAGAGAGGGGGAGGGGACGGGGGAGGGATATTAATTCTTCTTAGAATTGATTCTTTTCTGGGCATTTATGCCTGATTTTCTGGCCACAATTTAATCTTCATAATATCAAACATATTTATGAAGAAAAACTGAGCAATTCAGAATGAGATAACCTAGTCACAGGAGATATTTTCAGATCTTAATTCTGAGCCAGCAGGGCATATTTCTTTTCTGAGAAAACCCAGGATCTTTTTGTTACTGCTTGCTTCACTCCTTGAAAATCTTGTCACTAACTCGCCACATCTTCCTGCAAAATGTTTCAGTAAACAGAAAGTTACACTTCACGTGATAAATTCTACGTTCATGTTGTGTCTTGAGTTCTTATGGTCTTATTGCCATTGTTGTTCTTTTCTAATCTTATTTTAAAGAAAACCTGTATAATACTCTTTCACTATAATTATGTTTGCAGCAGTTTGTTTTCTGTTTTTTTAGGTTTGTTTTCTTAGTAGCATTTTAGACATGTTCACGAATCCAGTCTCATCAACCAACAGCCTTTCCTCAGTCTCTAAATTCTCCTGTTCTTTCCCCGCACTCCAACATTTCTCTATTCTTACTCCCTTTGTGCTTCCTCGGATTGACAGCTTCTATTCCTCTATTTCCAATGTTTTCTTTGGTTCCCCCTTTTCTCCTTAGACTCTAGACTGTTGAAGGTGGCAGGTCTTCAGAGGACTTCATTTGAAGGTGAAGATGCTGAGGCTAAGGGAGATCGTGGGGTTTGTCCCAAGTCCACTCCAAGGCAGACAGAGATGAGATCCATCCTCTGACTCCTGGCTTTCCCAAGGTGAGCTCTTCTTTCTTCTCTGTTATCCTCCGTCCACAGGTTATGGATTTCTGGTTCAGGAACCAGTTTATCCTATGGATAATTCTTTGACTTTCATACAAGTAACATGCCAAGCTAATATTTTTAAATGAAGAATTTCATATAATATCTGAAAGTGTCGACTGGTTAAAAATGGTGCCTGGTATATGGCATGCACTGTTTTTAGTGACTAATCTTATCCTCATTTCGTAGCTTTGTGTTTCTTGGAACCAGAAAGCCTTATCATTATATTGCCTCTTTTTTCTTCTTTATCTCACTCATATATATATATATATATAGTCTGTCCTTTGAGATTTTTAGGAATAGCAAAGTTTTGTAAATTTTGGGAAGATAGTTTGTTCAAACTAATAAAAATATGGATATATATGATTAAAAAAGGAGAACTGCAATGCTACTTGCAGATATATAGAATAGCGTTGTGGCCAGGGATGCTGAGATGGGCTACAGCTTTAGCAAGCAGTGTCTTTTAAACTGCAGATATGGACTTGTTAGTGGAAAGAAAACTCCATTTAAGAAGTTATAGCCATAATTTTTTTTGGTCTTTTTTCTTTTTATCGGTACCGGGGATCAAACTCACGACTGCCTGCTTGCAAGGCAGGCACTTATGCCGCTGAGCTAAATCCCTAGCCTATAGCCATAATTTTTTAAAAAATTATTTTGTGGAAAAAAGTAAAACAAAATTTCATGACAAAATAATAGAACAATAACAATAGCTAATGCAATTTCATGTTGTCATCTTTAAGGCAGTTGTACAGAGTACAAGATATGGGCATAAAAGTTTCTCCGTTGATATGAGCACAAATCTACCTTTTCAGTGAACTCTACTCTACTGTGAGGTGTAATTTTCTCAGTCTACATCAGTCACCACACACTAAGACCCACATTCTGGCTGGCTGGCAGCAAACACATTAAATACACTCTCCGTGCTGAACTTTCATGACATTCCCTATCCATTGTACCTCTAATTCAGTGTTTTAAATTTAATGTAAGTTAATTTTACTTTCACAAACAGAGGGAAGGAAGACTTGAAGATTAAACATGAGAGTACATTAAACTTCTACCTTCCAACTTGAATCCTGGAGGAACCCCATCAAACCCATTAGTCAACTCTCCCAGAAATGTATACTTATTTTATACAAACTTATTTTTATACTGATATAAAATACATACAACAATAGAAATCAAAAGATGAGATTACATAAATCATATTTAAAATAAGTCAAATGATAGAAATAATTCTTTGCCAATAATATTGATAAAATATTTTTAAAGCAGTATATTATCATGGATCAGAATTAGAGTTCTAATTATAGTTGATTTCAGTATCTGGTTTTAGTGGAAGTATGTTATAGGTGAAAAGAAGTACACAATTGGCTGTTATAATTTTGTGTGATGCTACAAAATCAAAATAGACAGATGCAACCACATCGAATTAAAAAGTCTGCACAGCAAAGGCAATTATCAAATGGAAAAGGAAACACATGCAATGGGAAAAGTATTTGTAAACCACATATTTGATTTAGTTAATATCAAAATTTATAGAAAATTCCTACAACCCAGCAACAAGAAAGTAACCCAATTGAAATGCATAAATAATTTGAATTGACATTTCTATAAACAAAATATGCAAATGGACAGTAGGTGAATGGCAAGCTCTCCAATATCTCTAATCACCAGGGAAATGGAAATCAAAATCACAGTAGGATATCACCTTAACTAGTTAGGATGAGTATTATGAAAACAAATGAACAAATAAGCAAACAAAAGATCACAAGTGTAACATCACTTTAAACTTGAAGAGGCAGATTTATTTATTTAAAAACTATATGAAAGGAAGCATTCTACTTATAGTTGCACATCATTGAAGAAAAGTTCAGCAACTTTGCATCACTTGTCCCTGGAAAACGAAAACAAGGCATCTCCTCTGTAAGTTTGATATCTTTTTAAGTACTTTGTCATTGAACAATGGGGGTATTTGATAAGTTCCAAAAGACTTTTATGGTTATACCCCATACCATTATAAAGTTTTGTTGAGATTTTGTTTTTATAAAATCAGTTATGTAATAGTCATTTTTGCTGTTGCTGGAAGATAATACAACTGTCACAAATGCCATAAGTGACATTCTGTAGTACTGTGTGTATTTAGGCCTCATCTGCTTTGGTTTAATTGCTTGATTTTGAATAATGGAGTGTTTAAATTTTATGTGATTTGTAGACAGAACTATGTACAACTAAAACAAAGTGTCAAATTTATATTCACGTTTTATATGATTTACTTGTATCTTAATTATGATGATTTTCTAGTGATCATTACTTAATATATGACTCCATATAATTAAGGCAAGATATGTCTTTTAAGTTAGTTTACATAAAATACAAACATTTTCTAGGATCTTCTTGATGACTTTCAGTCATTTTGGGCACTTCTTGTCAGATTTAGTTGCTAGTTTTTTACCTTTAAATATGGTTGACAAACAATTTATTTAGAATAAAAGCATAAGGTGTATTTTATCTTATTTCTTATATTATTTGAGGAAACCCACCTACGAACTTTTTTCATAACCTTAGTTATCAAACACAAAGACGGAAGTGTATATTGAACATTGTGTGCCCAATTTATGATCCATATTATGCTGTCTCTATCTCTGTACTGAGCTACATGTCAGATTACCTTAAATCAATTCTCAGACATTTCATCTTCATACATTTCAATATATATCTCTAAAAATGAATGTAATGCTAAACACAGAATCATTAACAATAAAATAGAAATATTTGTGTTGAAATTATCTTAATTTTATTTTTCCTTTTGTTGGTAAAAATGAGAGTTGAATATTCTGCAGTATTTCTTTTTGGTTGAGTGAGGGACAAAGAGGGGGAGATTTTTAAGGTGAATTTCAGTTGCCTGGGGGTGTTGTATATTGAAATGTGAAAGACTGCAGAGGTAAAATTGAGTGAGAAAAGAAAAAATTCATTTGTGGAAATATTAAGGTAGAAATGATGTGAGAATATTTGGATTAAAAAGTCAACTATGGCTTAGAAGCATGAGTTTGAGAATTGATGTAGAAGAAATAATATTTGAAACTATGAGAATAAAGAAGATAAATGAAAGAGACTATAGAGTAATAAGAAGGCTCAGGGCGAGTCCTAGTCAATCCTATCCTAATATCCCAAGGAGAGTGAGAAGAAGGGATCAGGGACAACAGAAAGATTGAGTGTAGTGCAGAAGAAATTCAAGGAAAGATGATTCAGCAAAACAGGGCACTGAATGCTGTTTAGAGATTCAATGCAGTGAGGGTACTAAAGGCACAAACATTTAACTAGTCTGAGACCTGCTCTTCCACTGCATGCTTTCTGCTTTTGTGGTAGTCATGGGAAATTTGAATCTCAGTTATAGCATCTATAAAATGGTAGTGCTTGGGAGAGGGGAGTTGAGTGATGGAGAAGGAAGTGTTTGGGCTGGGAAGTGTCAGGCACTGTATCAGACAAAGCCAGGTGGTTCAGGACGGAGGTGATAGTGGGAAGGTGGTATCTTATCATCTCTAAAAATACATATGAGATATTAATATGTATATAATGATATGTAAACTTATAGGATCAATGAAGGATTTTTCAATCAGTTTGTAAACTATTGACTAATAGGTAAATACAAGGCATTACTTTTTATTACTAAGAATCAAAGCACTTGCTGTGGTGGCTATATTTTAACGTAGTTATAGCTGTGAGACTGACCCATAAAGGAGCTACAGACAGCATTATCAAGGCTGTGATCCCAAATGTTAGTACATCAGCACCAGCATCTTAGAAATTTAAAGGTCCCCAGAACTTTGTGATTTATTTTCTTCTGGGCTTATTAAGTGAAAGCCAGCAGGAAATTTCTTCTTGTACTACAGAACTGTCTGTAAATTACAGATATCTGAGGTCATTAGTTAGATCTTGACCCTTTACCCCCACCCTCTCTGCTATGCTTTCAGAGCACCAGTGCCTCCAGTGACCACAAACAAACATTTAATACCAGGTAGGAAGGACAGCTGAAGGAGAAGGGTCCCTTCTCCCTAGGACAATGCCAAGGATGTGGTGTTGAGGCTCCAGATAGCTTCTACCTACTTTTTTACTGTATGATGTAGGGAGAAATCCCTGGGCACTCAGGCCACAATCCTATACCTCTGGAAACCTTGTGTACATTAAATGTTCAATCAGTGCTGTGAGGTGAAAAGGGTCATAGGGAGGGCTGTCTAGTCATTTAGGCTGTGTGCATTAATGGGAGGCAAGGACAGCTTTTGCCATTGGCTATGGACTTAGCTCTGCAGGTGAGTTTGCAAATGTTGCCCTGTAGCCCCAAATTACTGTCCTTCTGGCTGATAATGTTCTACTTTTAGAATTCTTTAGTAGGTTGTGTTCTTTAGCAAAATGTAAGTGGGAGCAAAGTCGTATCATCACCAGTTTTGTATATTTTAGTCCAACCGAGTGTTTTGATACTTTTTGGGAACAGGATTTTAACTGGGGGTGTTGAGAAGAGAGAAAGCTAGAGTGTTGAAGAAGGGGAGAATCATGTCAAAAACAGAGCTACAAAGCATCTAATTTTATTGATTCCGCAGTTGTGTCTCAGTCTTTTCCTGATTGGTGGCTGCCAAGGTCCCAGGATGCTGTGTCTCCTCTCATTCCTTTCGCTTTTTTCATTCACTTCTTTACACTTCACTGTGCTTTTATCTCAAGTCAGATGCCATTTTCACCGTCACAGTCACGGTTATACCTAGATGCACAAAGAATTTTCAGGTAATGTTTTATTCTCCCAAGGATTCCAATTCTGTACAACTGATTGATTAACACAGTAACATGAGCAAACACGAAGTGGCAGAGATTCAGATGACACATTCAATTAATGACATTCAGGCACCAAGGAACGATAGGGACTCGGTACAGAGCAACCACAAAGTACAGATTTATGAATGTAATTTCTT